GGGTTTATTGGTTATTGCCCCCCAACCATCTGGGTCCTCATTTTACCGACCTTGGAAAGATGGAAGGCTGAGTCAACCTTGAGCCAGTGAGAATCAAACTGCCAAAACTGCAGTCAGCTGGCAGTCAGCAGAAGTAGCCTGCAGTACTGCATTCTAACCACTGCGCCACCTCGGCTCTCTTCACAGTACTCTACAGCCCTCTCTAAGCAGTTTAAAGTCAGCACATTGCCCCCAGCAATCTGGGATCTCATTTTACTCACCTGGGAAGGATGGAAGGATGAGTCAACCTTGAGCCAGTGAGAATCAAACTGCCAAAACTGCAGTCAGCTGGCAGTCAGCAGAAGTAGCCTGCAGTACTGCATTCTAACCACTGCGCCACCTCGGCTCTCTTCACAGTACTCTACAGCCCTCTCCAAGCAGTTTAAAGTCAGCACATTGCCCCCAGCAATCTGGGATCTCATTTTACTCACCTGGGAAGGATGGAAGGATGAGTCAACCTTGAGCCAGTGAGAATCGAACTGCCAAAATGCAGTCAGCTGGCAGTCAGCAGAAGTAGCCTGCAGTACTGCATTCTAACCACTGCGCCACCTCGGCTCTCTTCACAGTACACCACAGCCCTCTCTAAGCAGTTTAAAGTCAGCACATTGCCCCCAGCAATCTGGGATCTCATTTTACTCACCTGGGAAGGATGGAAGGATGAGTCAACCTTGAGCCAGTGAGAATCGAACTGCCAAAATGCAGTCAGCTGGCAGTCAGCAGAAGTAGCTTGCAGTACTGCATTCTAACCACTGCGCCATCACGGCTCTGCTAGGGTGATTATTGGGCTGACGGCTAAAATAAATGAAGAACACTTGCAGGAATTGTGTTGTGGGATACAGTGGCTCAGTGGCTAAGACGCTGAGCTTGTGGATCAGAAAGGTTGGCAGTTTGGTGGTTCAAATCCCTAGTGTCGCATAACGGAGTGAGTCCTGTTACTTGTCCCAGCTTCTGCCAATCTAGCAGTTTGAAAGTACGTAAAAATGCAAGTAGAAAAATAGGGACCACTTTGATGGGAAGATAACAGTGTTCCGTGCGCCTTCAGCATTTAGTCATGCAGGCCACATGACCATGGAGACGTCTTCGGACAGCGCTGGCTCTTCAGCTTTGAAACAGAGATGAGCCTGCCCCCTAGAGTCGGGAATGACTAGCACATATGTGCAAGGGGAAGCTTTACCTTTACCTTTTAGTTTAATAAAACATGGGAAGACATGACAGCAGTGTTCCATTATTTGAGAGGTTGCCACTGATGAAGAGGTCAACCTATTTTCCACAGCACCAGAAGGCAAGACAAGAAGCAATGGGTGGAAACTAATCAAGGAGAGAACAACCTAGAACCTAGAACTAAGGAGAAATATCATAATAGTGAGAACAATCAACCAGTGGAACAGTTTCCCTCCAGAAGTTGTCGGTGCCCCAACACTGGAGGTTTTCAAGAAGAGATTGGGCAATCATTTGTCTGAAATGGTAAAGGTTCTCCTATACGAACAGGATGTTGACTTGATGACCTCCAATGTCCCTTCCAACTATGTTATTCTATGTTCTGTGTTTTGTCTATAATACAGGAATCTTCCCAGAGTGGCAACCTGCCCTTGGAACAATTAGATAAGGCTCCAAGGAACTTAAGCAGGGTCCATTCTAGAATTTCAATGGTTGCACACCGATTCCAGTCTAGTTCCACACTTGATGTGCATTCACAACTTCTGGAGGCAAGTTGTTCCACTGATTAATTGTTTTCACTGTCAGGAAATTTCTCCTTAGTTCTAAGTTGCTTCTCTCCTTGATTAGTTTCCACTCATTGCTTCTTGTCCTGCCCTCAGGTGCTTTGGAGAACAAGTCAATATGAACAAGAAGTAATGGAAACCTATCAAGGAAAGATCAAAGCCTATGAAGAACAGTTGCAGGAACTGGGTATGTCTAGTTTAACAAGAAGAAGGACTAGGGGAGAGATGATAGCAGTCTTCCAATATCTCAGGGGTTGCCACAAAGAAGAGGCAGTCAAGCTATTCTCCAAAGCACCTGAAGGCAGGACAAGAAGCAATGGGTGGAATCTAATCAAGGAGAGAAGAAACTTAGAACAATGGGTGGAAATGGGTGGAAGCTTGTTGATGAGAAGCTCCAAACTAGAAGTAAGGATAAATTTTCTGACTGTGAAAACTATCAACCAACGGGACAGCTTCCCTCATGGACCTGGAGTTGTGGGTGCTCCATCATTGGATGCTTTAAAAAAATAACTGGACAATCAATTGACTGGGGTGACCAGTGGTGGGTTTCAAAAATTGTTGGAACCTACTCTGTGGGTGTGGCCTCCTTTGTGGGAATGGCTTCCCATCCATGTGACCGAATTGGAGTGGCTTGCCGCCCATGTGACCGGATATGAAATTATGAATTAGTACTTAGGTTGGTCCAAGTAGCTATTCAGAAACTCTGGATTGAAGCATGCAAGTCTTAAAGCTGTCAAGTTACAAGACCCTTGCACCCCTAACCCTTTAGAAAAAAAAAACCAGGGGAGTTCAAACTTGACAGCTTTAAGACTTGTGGACTTTAACTCCCAGAATTCCTCCTCTCGCTCTTCATATTGATGATGGGCGGATGGGCGAGGGGAGAGAACTGGAACCAGTTCTAAACGGCACAGTAGATTTGTGGAACCTCTTCTATAGATCCTTGCCAGTGGTGGGTTTCAAAATTTTTTGGAAACTCTTCTGTAGGTGTGGCCTGTTTTCTGGGTCCACTGGTGNAAGAAGAAGAAGAAGAAGAAGAAGAAGAAGAAGAAGAAGAAGAAGAAGAAGAAGAAGAAGAAGAAGAAGAAGAAGAAGAAGAAGAAGAAAGATCCTTTTGTGCAGAAGAAGAATTTAATGCCATCTATTGATTTATATAATAATAATTTAACACAGTGCTATTTATTTAAAATTGGAGTAACACTGAAACAGAGAGGTAGGTGATGGAGTTAGCAGGGGGATGGAGAGGGGGAGGAAGAGGAAGAGGAGGAAGAAGAAGAAGAAGAATCTTTAGAGGTTGGTTTTTTTCTTGTAACTAGAACTCAGGCTCCTGAAGGTTGTCCCCAAATCACCTCAATATCTTTGATGCTTAAAGTCCGACTAGAACTCACAGTCACCTAGTGATTGCCCCAAAATCACCAAGTTGGCTTTGCTGCCTACTGTAAGATTACAATTCATGGTCTCAGTTTTTAGCCTGTTGCCATAATCACATAAGCTATTGTAAAGTGCTTTGAAATGTTGGATGTTGAATGTTGTATGTCAATCAATAAAGGAACATTGTTCTTTACATTAAAGAAGAGATTCAGCTTGACTCGATGGGCATTTGGTGGTCCAAGATAGCAGAGATGACATTTCAAAATTCACCGGTTCAAACGGGGTCTTGAATCTTCATCTTGAGTCTTCTTGAAAATCCATTTTGCTGACGTTCGGCTTCTGGAGCCTCCTGATTCTCTCATAATCACAATATTTACCACTGTCATAATGGAATTCAAATCTTCGAGTGTGAAGACTTAATAATAAACCTCAATGACTAGGGGATGCTTCTTCAACATTATTTCCACCTAATTTATAATCAAGATGTTCAATTAATAATTTTCGGTGCTTTACACAGTGTTAAGTCAGCTGAAAAGGACTGGAGTCTGCTCTCCCTTCATCATTACAGACAATTCTTTTTTTTTTCATAATGCTGAGGGTTGCATAATAATTTAACGAAACTTGTTGGCAAAAAAAAAAGAACCTCTTTGAAGTCATCTAAATAGTGGGAGGCGATGTGACACTTTACATATGGCTCGATCTATGTTAAAAGATCAAGAGATGCAGTGGCTCAGTGGCTAAGATGCTGAGCTTGTCGATCAGAAAGGTCGGCAGTTTGGCAGTTCGAATCCCTACTGCAGCATAATGGAGTGAGCTCCTGTTACTTGTNATGTCTTCTGCCATTTGTGGATCCAGTCCTCCAAACATCCTCTTGATCAAATCTGTATGGACTCCTCTTAGCAACTACTTGCTTGTAATATCTCTCATACAGTCTTGATGCCCTCTTTTTGTTTCCTTGTTCAGCTTGTCTTTAATTATCAACAGTGTTATCAAATATTTTACAAATAGTATTTCATAGTCCATAAATTCTTTAATGTTTTCTTCTTCTTCTATGTCCTTTCTCATTCCCTATTTAAGGGAGATTCACACACTGACATCATCATTTACAAGGACTATGGCCTGGAATGACCTGACTTCTCTTCTTGCGGGCATAAATTAACTTTCTGCCAAATTGTTACACATCCACCCTCCTCTTCCTCCTTATCCGCCCATCTTCTTTTGCAGGCCAAGCCTATACAAAGTCCCTCTATGAGGGAGATGGGCAGTTTCTAAATGTGATATAAAATAAATAAAATACAGTGTATTCTTCCTCCTTCGTGCCACATGCTGAAATAACATCGGTGTGTTTTGTCGTTGCTTTTTGTAATTATACTTTGAGCGTGCTTCTTAAAACCCACATAAATACATATTCTCTCAGAAATGTCGGATTTGCTTAAATTAAACTAAACCACTGGGGCAATTCCATCCATGTTTACCCTTCTCAAGGAAACACCATTCATTTCACTGGGATTTATTTCCGTGTGTTTGTATTTAGAATTGTAAACTAACAGCAATTGCTGCTTACTTGGAAGTAAATTCTACTGAAATCACGGATCTTGAAGAATGCTAAAACAAATCAGTTTTCTTTGTTTTTTTTATAAATAAAGGAACAGGTTCTTTTGCAGCACAAACTGATACATAATTCATAAAGTCTATTTAGCTTCAGGTTTTTTTGCCTTGAAAAAATGAGAACGTGTGTATGTATTTGAAAAATGTATTTGTAAAAATGTGCCTTAGTGATAGCTGCCTAAAATTTAGGAAATGGGGAAATTTGCATAGATACATGTGTATCTTAAGAAAAGAAGCACACAAAATACAATTGATAGCAAAAATTGCACCTCTAATTTAAAAAAAATATGATAGTGTCTATGAATGAATGAATGCGTATAATATGGATCTAGACTGATCTTCATATGCTAAGTTCCAAATAAATTAAATACTGTGTTTCCCACAAAATAAGATCAACCCAGTGGTGGGATTCAAATAATTTAACAACCAGATCTCTGCCCTGATGACCAACTGGGTAGGCAGGGCTTAGTGGTCATGTGGCTGGGTGGGTGTGGTCAACTCAATGTCACTCAGGTTGATGGGCGCTTTGCCTTAGCTGTTACAATGTAATAAGGGTTAACTGGAGAGGCAGTTTCTGTAAGTAGTGCAATAAAGATTAGGCTAGAAACAACAACAGAATGTTCCTTCCTACCTGCCTTCCTTACAGGATTAGCCCTGTAAAGTTGGGGGGGGGATTTCTTCCAACAACCGGTTCTCCGAACTGCTGAGAAAGTTAACAACCGGTTCTCCCAAATAGGTGCGAACTGGTTGAATCCCATCACTGGACCTATCCCAAAAATAAGCCCTTGCTTGATTTTACGTGTGCAATTAATATAAGCCCTACCCCAAATATAAGCCCTAGTTAAGACTGCATCATGCCAGTGCCACTACCTGTGGCACTGCTTGCGGCAGTACGCCATGTGATATGTTGCAATGGTGCCGCTGCTCACAGCAGGAGGCCGCATGGTGGCACTGGCGCAATGCACCACTTGGGGTCTGGCCGTAAGTGGCCATAAGCAGCCACAGAAGAAGTGCAACAGGTGTCAGGGTGTGGGAGGCCTGGCTCCAGTGGTCCTAAGGTACACAGGTAAGACATCACCCCCTAAATAAGACCTAGTGGCTATTTTAGAGGGCATATATAAATCTGGGTCTTATTTTTGAGGAAATAGAATCATAGTAGGACTGAAATAAGTTTAATGGAAGTGTTATGTATGTTACACTGTGGCCAAAGTCAAGTGCAGTGTAAAACAAGAAAGCACGGTAGCTTTTAAAAAGAAACATTCCTACAACGGAATTTGCAGAATTAAACAGAAAACGTACCAAGTCTGATCCCCATTCTAATAAACAAAGTGCTCCAAAATTGTGGGTTTTTTTTTTACTCTTAGGATTTGTGACCCTGGATTGTTTTCTCGACAGGTGGAAAATTCCCCGAAGACTTTTCAGTTCTATTTACAATAAAACCTAAAAAGGGAGTCCAGTCCTTTCTTTTATCGATCTACAATGAACACGGCATTCAACAGGTTGGCATTGAGGTGGGCAGGTCGCCTATCTTCTTGTTTGAAGATCAAAATGGAAAGCCTGCCCCAGAAGATTATCCCATATTTGGTACGGTCAATATTGCTGATGGAAAGTAAGTAGAACATCATCAAAAGGTCATAACATCTGTGTGAACTATTCGAATATGTTGTCAATTGAGTCTATCGATGCCAGTCACCGGATGAGTTAAATATTTTCGCATGGTTTTTTTTCCCCATATGATTTGAACACAAATCTTTGTCATATGATCATTGGCATCTGAGTTCCCTTCGGGGAAAAGGGCAGCATATAAATGTAATAATAATAAATCCAATCTTCCTGCTGCTTTATTGGCTTTTATAGCTGTGTCTCATATCTGTCTTGCTTTTTGTATTCTATTGCCCTTAACATACTACTTAGTTGATGTTTTCCTATTTTCTCTGTCCTTCAGTGGGTGCTTGGTAACACGCTGCCACCCTCCCTTCCCAATAAGACCTCATTTATGCCTTAAAAGGATGAAGATACCAACCTGACTGCTTTCGATTTGCATTAGCAATAGCAATAGCAATAGCAGTTAGACTTATATACCGCTTCATAGGGCTTTCAGCCTCTCTAAGCGGTTTACAGAGTCAGCATATCGCCCCCAACAATCCGGGTCCTCATTTTACCCACCTCGGAAGGTTGGAAGGCTGAGTCAACCTTGAGCCGGTGAGATTTGAACAGCCAAACTGCAGAACTGCAGTCAGCTGAAGTAGCCTGCAGTCTAACCACTGCGCCACCTTGGCTCTAGAACCCAGTTGGGCCTGCTACATCACTTCCTTTAGGTCAGAGTGGAGTCTGGTGGGTGCAAGCACAGTGCGATTGAAGCAAGGGCCGCCGAACCATGCCGTGATGCACACAGCAAGCCCTGTCAAATCCTACACAATAGTGTACCTCTGG